TGGTGGTGATGATAGTGTGGTGGTGATGATAGTGTGGTGGTGATAATAGTGTGGTGGTGATAATAGTGTGGTGGTGATGATAGTGTGGTGGTGATGATAGTGTGGTGGTGATGATAGTGTGGTGGTGATGATAGTGTGGTGGTGATAATAGTGTGGTGGTGATGATAGTGTGGTGGTGATAATAGTGTGGTGGTGATGATAGTGTGGTGGTGATAATAGTGTGGTGGTTCTGATTGTGTGGTGGTGATGATAGTGTGGTGGTGATGATAATGTGGTGGTGATGATAGTGTTGAAGATAGTAGTGATAACGGTTGTGGTGTTAGTGGTGGTGCTGGTAGTGATAATGGTAGTAATAGTAGTGATAGTAGCAATGGTAGTGTTGACGTTAGTCGTGGAAGTAGTGGTGGTGGTGACGGTAGTCGTAGAAGCAGTAGTGGTGGTGACTGTAGTCGTAGAAGCAGTAGTGGTGGTGACTGTAGTCGTAGAAGCAGCGGTGGTGGTGACTGTAGTTGTAGAAGCAGTAGTGGTGGTGACTGTAGTCGTAGAAGCAGCGGTGGTGGTGACTGTAGTTGTAGAAGCAGTAGTGGTGGTGACTGTAGTCGTAGAAGCAGTGGTGGTGGTGACTGTAGTCGTAGAAGCAGTGGTGATGGTGACTGTAGTCGTAGAAGCAGTGGTGATGGTGACTGTAGTCGTAGAAGTAGTGGTGGTGGTGACAACTAGTAGCAATGTTCCCAGCCTCATATTTAAAGTGACAGATAATTTTAATAGATAAAAAAGATAAAGTCGGGAGATGTGAACCAGCGCCATTGCAAACATGTATATACAATAAGTGCTCAGCCGCCAGTACGGACAGCTGATAAGAAACTGTCTGCCTGTGTCGCCGTCCGCACCAAAACTCCTTAACTACAGCGAATCTCCTCCATGTACCCCAGAGTGTTAACTCTGGTACCCATTTTCTAGAGGCTGTGTGAACCCTGGGAACTATATAACAATATAAGAACTGTAGCACTAATTGTTTTATGCATTACAGCTTGTCCAGTGTATGAGCTAGCAGGTCCCCCTCCCCCTTTTTCCAAGACGTGAGGAGAGTCTGACATAATGGTCTATACAGTACTTTTTATAAATACATGTATGTGTACCTGTCAAACAATAGCTGTCAAACAATAGGCTCAAAGAGTTTCAACGTAGTTTGTCTGCATCTGCTGTTTCCCTCAGAGGCCTGTTACCTGACGACATGACACTATTACAACATCTCAACATAAATGGCAGATCAATAGGGAATGCCAGACACTCCGTTAAACCTCAGGAGAAGTTATAATCGGGGCATCTGTGACTGCTAACTTGTCTGGAGTTACTTGCAGTTTTGTGCAGTTAAGAATCTAAGTAAAAGTAAAAAGTTGGAAGGGGGTGGAGTGTGCCTTTTTTGGATGGGGGGGGGGGGGCGGCACTATCAGATTTTGTGGCGGAGTTTCCAAGAAAGTCCAATAATATAGAGGTGTTAAAGTGGGAAGTGAACACCGAATAACACTAACCCGAACTACCCTATAAAATAGTGGACTTTCCAGGAAATCGGCGCGAAATCTCTAACTCCCCGAGATGAGATGAACAAAGTGAAAAGTATCGAAGTTGGTTAGATGTGTAGTTTGTTCCCTACAGGACTGCAGTCCGCAGGATTATCACCATCAGGATGAGAATCCTTCATGAACCAATCCCAGAATCCCAATTAAGCCGCATAGTACGAGTAACTTTTACAACGCAACTTGAAGTTAGCACAAAGCGGGAAAAATATTTATTGTAGGTTAGATAAAAAGTGTAATTTAAGACCAATGAATCGGAAGAAACATTGACGAGCAGCGAGAACTGAGATTCTATTGCAGGATGATCGAACAACCTAGTACATACACCAGGCCCAGTCCTTACCTTACGCCTTCTTATCAGGTCCAATAAAAAACTGTTCGTATCCTGCCTGCCGGAAACGACTCACGCTCCATTTTGTAGAGACCTATTTCTTGGGACAAATAATGTGGTAATTTCCCGCTTGCTTTCCACATCCACGTAGCTTTAGACATCGTCATCAATCGTAATTAATCAAGTTCCGTGTCCACACTGAAAGTTGGGTGCAGTTGATCTCCAGCACTACTCTCGTCTTTGTTGTATCCTCTTTAAGACCCCTGTCCGTACACCTCTTGCTGTTATCCTTCCATCTCTACCACTACTTAACTTTATAATGCCTCCCTCTTCTTTTATATAAAGAATGTTGTGTCTTTTAATCTGGCCGAGATATTTCATTTATGTTTCTTTTTTTTTTTTAACCAACAGCTCTGTTTTCTCCCGGTCTCTTTAGAATCTATGTGTGCAACAATTTTTTATTGCTTTAAAATACAATACATTCTCCTCCACATCCACATTGTCAGGAGAATCCATTCGACTTTGTAGTAACCGCATTGCCAACTGTTTCTCGGTCAGGAGAATCCATTCGACTTTGTAGTAACCGCATTGC